GATCTAAGTGGTTAATTGTCAGTAATTAGTAGCTGAATATGTACTAAATATTTACTAAAAAAAACACTTCTGACAGCTGTTTTTAGATCATTTTCATCGTTAGATCATCGTTTTTAGGTCATCAAATGCAAAAATGACAGTGTTATACTCACAGTGAAGTCATCGCACATAAGTTTTGCTCGAAATACAAGAACTGCACGTGTAAACAAATATGTGAATCGGATTTCAAAAATAGGATTCATTCATATAAGCAGAACATTCAGAATCTGAAATTGGAATTGGAAAATTAGTGCTTGTAAACAGCTATTGTGCATTATGAGTGTGCTTGGTAGGGTTTTCAATCGTCATGAGATGTTTTGAAGTTATGCTAATTGTAGAAAATAGAAGCGTCTCTCTCTTCGTTCAATAGCCTCTGTTCATTGTGGCTGGCACTTGTAGGCGGTTTGCATTCAGAGAGAAATATTTGTGTGAGATGTTGAGCAATTTGTGTGTTTCTATGTGTGTTTGTGTTTGTGTGTGAGATTGTGTGTGTTTGTGCGAAAGCCAGTCCATTGGTCTTTCACACAGGGTCTTTGTGCTTGAAAAAAAGGCAGAACAGAGCTACTGTAACCTCTTGGTCATGATACACAGAAGGGTCACACACACTTGGATGGTCCTATCACCAACATTTGTCTTTGTGACATGAAAACATCCAACATGAACTTAAACGTCTTCTCTACACACAGTAGGGCATCATAACAAGTACACTGCTCTGAAATAGCCCATCGATTTAAAACGCCCAAGAGAACATCACCACAACCGCTCCATAAACACTGCTAGAATCATAAGTCTCAAATGCTAACATAAAAATCCCTTTCCACTACTGAGAGAAGGTCTCAGATGTTCATAAATGCACACAAATGCACAAAAAACGGGGGGCTTTTAGACTTCTAAAGCTACCACTTGTTGCCAAGTAGTTCTGAGCAGTTGCAATGGGTATTCTGAGTGTTGCTATGAGGTTGCTAGGGGCGGGCAATATGAATAGTGGATATTGCACTACTGGGGTGATCTGAGTGCTTGATAGCGCGTTGCTATGCGGTTGCTGGGGTGATCTGAGTGCTTGATAGCGCGTTGCTATGCGGTTGCTGGGGTGATCTGAGTGCTTGATAGTGTGTTGCTATGCAGTTGCTGTAAGACAGTGATTTTAGTATGTTACTATATGGTTGCTAGAGTGTTTCTCTGCTGTGCTTTTTGGTTGCTAGGGTTTCTCTAACTGTATTCAGAGAGATAGAGAGAGAACAGCATGAAAGTGATTTGCATTTTTACGCATTTCCTGATGCAGAAGCTTCAGTTCTCAAAAACAGTAAATGAAGTGGTTTTGGGTGGAGTACCATCTGTCTGTCACATTCAAAGTCCCACCCACAAGTGACAGCTGGAATTTGAGTCACTTTGACTGGAAGGATGACACACACATACTCTCATGTTCATTCTGTGTGATCTCAGCAACACAAACTCACTTTCTAGCTTTGCTAATGTGTGCTGGAAACTCAAGAGTCCAAGCTGACACAAGACAAACCACCCTGGTAACTAGCCTCCAAGAACAGTGATGAAGTTCACTAAGATCACAATTCATCCACACCGATCTATCAGAATCAAATTCACTGATTAATAATTAATTAGTCATTGTCAATTAATCCTTCATTGAAGCTTATGTGTCAATTTTGGTACTAGAAAAACCTACACAAACCAGTGAAACCTTTCCATTAGCTAATATCATAGAGTTACAAACTTATGTGACTTTAAAGGTGACATATTATGCCCCTTTTTACAATATGTAATTTAAGTCTCAGGAGTCCCCAGAATGTAACTGTGAAGTTTTAGCTCAAAATACCCCACAGATCATTTATTCTATCATTTTGAAAATGCCTATTATGGGCCCTATCATACACCCAGAGCAATGCGGCACAAGGCGCGGCGCAAGTGTTTTTGCTAGTTTCAGCCCCACACAGTTCTCCTTTTCCCGTCCTGCGCCTTGTTGTTTAAATAGCAAATGCATTCGTGCCCATTTGTGCGCTCATGGGCGTGCTGGTCTAAAAAAGAGGTGTGTTCAGGCCAAGCGGCAACCTCCCGCTCTCTCTCGTGAAGCCAACACGGAAGTGACTTAAACTGTAATTCATCAACTGGCCGCTAGAGGCTGGCTGCAAAAGGGAATCAATCCCATAGACTCCCCATGTTAAAATGCCCAAATTTACAGCAGAAAAAAACATGTTTACATCCTGGTTCAAAAAATGATTTTGGTCTATATAGCTAATTTTGCCCTTCATGACAACTGTGAGGGGGGTGAATTTTTTTATAACTCATCCGTTTAAATTATATGAAGCCTTAAAGTTCTGCATAATTAAGGGCGTGGCTTGAGTGACAGGTGGATTGTCGCTGCTGTCACCACCGTCGAGCTAGGTGGGCGTGGCTTCAGCAACCTGCTCCCGCCTCTTTGCCCATTTTCGATTAAGTGTTGCTATGAGGTTGCTAGGGGCGGGCAATATGAATAGTGGATATTGCACTACTGGGGTGATCTGAGTGCTTGATAGCGCGTTGCTATGCGGTTGCTGGGGTGATCTGAGTGCTTGATAGTGTGTTGCTATGCAGTTGCTGTAAGACAGTGATTTTAGTATGTTACTATATGGTTGCTAGAGTGTTTCTCTGCTGTGCTTTTTGGTTGCTAGGGTTTCTCTAACTGTATTCAGAGAGATAGAGAGAGAACAGCATGAAAGTGATTTGCATTTTTACGCATTTCCTGATGCAGAAGCTTCAGTTCTCAAAAACAGTAAATGAAGTGGTTTTGGGTGGAGTACCATCTGTCTGTCACATTCAAAGTCCCACCCACAAGTGACAGCTGGAATTTGAGTCACTTTGACTGGAAGGATGACACACACATACTCTCATGTTCATTCTGTGTGATCTCAGCAACACAAACTCACTTTCTAGCTTTGCTAATGTGTGCTGGAAACTCAAGAGTCCAAGCTGACACAAGACAAACCACCCTGGTAACTAGCCTCCAAGAACAGTGATGAAGTTCACTAAGATCACAATTCATCCACACCGATCTATCAGAATCAAATTCACTGATTAATAATTAATTAGTCATTGTCAATTAATCCTTCATTGAAGCTTATGTGTCAATTTTGGTACTAGAAAAACCTACACAAACCAGTGAAACCTTTCCATTAGCTAATATCATAGAGTTACAAACTTATGTGACTTTAAAGGTGACATATTATGCCCCTTTTTACAATATGTAATTTAAGTCTCAGGAGTCCCCAGAATGTAACTGTGAAGTTTTAGCTCAAAATACCCCACAGATCATTTATTCTATCATTTTGAAAATGCCTATTATGGGCCCTATCATACACCCAGAGCAATGCGGCACAAGGCGCGGCGCAAGTGTTTTTGCTAGTTTCAGCCCCACACAGTTCTCCTTTTCCCGTCCTGCGCCTTGTTGTTTAAATAGCAAATGCATTCGTGCCCATTTGTGCGCTCATGGGCGTGCTGGTCTAAAAAAGAGGTGTGTTCAGGCCAAGCGGCAACCTCCCGCTCTCTCTCGTGAAGCCAACACGGAAGTGACTTAAACTGTAATTCATCAACTGGCCGCTAGAGGCTGGCTGCAAAAGGGAATCAATCCCATAGACTCCCCATGTTAAAATGCCCAAATTTACAGCAGAAAAAAACATGTTTACATCCTGGTTCAAAAAATGATTTTGGTCTATATAGCTAATTTTGCCCTTCATGACAACTGTGAGGGGGGTGAATTTTTTTATAACTCATCCGTTTAAATTATATGAAGCCTTAAAGTTCTGCATAATTAAGGGCGTGGCTTGAGTGACAGGTGGATTGTCGCTGCTGTCACCACCGTCGAGCTAGGTGGGCGTGGCTTCAGCAACCTGCTCCCGCCTCTTTGCCCATTTTCGATTATCCGGGAGTGACGCGCGGTGAAGCGCTGCCAAGATGGCGACGGCCGGCTCCGCCCACTTTTGCTGTTCGGAAATCTACGGGTGACGTCACGGACACTACGTCCATGTTTTTATACAGTCTATGGTTCAGGTGCATTGTTGGCGCGTTGCTATTTTGAGGAACTGAAAATAGACTGCGCCACTGACCAACTCAAACCTAGTCTAAAGTTTGGTGCAATATTTTTTCTTTGTTATTTATAGAGCGCAGTTAGTAATATGCGCCTATAGGCGGATGGCGCGTACACTTTGCTTATTACACACACAGGGACGCGCAGCTGCACAAAAACATTTTTAAAAATGAAAAATTACATTCCGCCATGTAAATAGTGAACCTGCCATGGCGCAAGCGCAACTGGCTTTTGAAGGGGATGGGAGATGAGACTCTGATTGGTTTATTGCACGTTACACCCAAAAAACACCCATTACTCATTAAGAGAATAGGGACAACCCATTTAGACCATGCGCCTGGGCACGCCGACTTTTTTCCCATCGTTAAACTAACAAAAGTGGATTCGGACACGCCCTGAGTGCACCAGCGCCGTGCACTTTAGACCATGCGCTTAGATCGTTAAAGTTTTATTGTATCCTCATAATAACTCAATATGAATCAATTTTATTTAAAGACACAAAATATTTTTCTTAAGCTTAAAATTAATAGGAAATCAAAAAGTATGAGGAATTTAATTCTTAAAACTGTTTCATGAATCCACTCCCAGGACTCCGACATAAACCCGACTGGACTTTACTGCACAGCTACTTACCAAATAAATAATACTAATTCAATATTTGATTTCAAAATGGTGGAGTGATATGATAGACATAACACTAAGAAATCAGTATCCTAGGACAATGATTAATAATATAGTTTTGAAGCCAACATACAAAATATTTTAACACAGAATGCCACATTTGACCTATCAGAATCAACTATTCCAAAGAGTCATTTAATTGTAAACTATAGTAATTGTATGTCCAGTCTAGTCGTTGAGGGATGCAGTCCCTATGACTACTCACACTACTGAGCATCTTCATCTCCAGTAGCTTCTGCAGGTACTCCTGCAACGGGGTCGGAGAGTCCGGTTCCTCCAGGAACCAGCGGAGCGAACCCACCGACCGCCGTCTGTTTAAGAAATCATACAGCTCTTCATGCATCATCATGAGCGTAACACACAAAAACAGTGCAGCCTGAGAAAATATTATGAGAAACTAAAAAATAGCTACAATTACACGGACAGATCAACAAATAGTCTAAAGAGTTGAGATGAAGGGAAAGAAATGAGTTTCAACTATAAGCCACTGTGGAATGTGGCCGATTACCCATCATGCACTGGGAGATTAACTTTGCTTGATGCCGTTTTTGTTATTAAGCTGATTACCAGCTATAATTCGGCTCAAAGAAACACGCAAACATTGTGAAATTGCATCAACAATGCACTTTCATTCCCACACACCTCCAAAAACCCAATCCCCAGACCGATTTGTGCTACTCAAACACACTTCACTCATTGTTGAAATTCCAGCTTTTATCCATTTTGTATTCCAGCCTAATGATACTTTTTATTACGTTACATAAGACAAGTTCCGACTTCATCTCTGAGTATCTTAAAACTTAGATTTTCACAGGTAATGAAACTCAGAAATGAAACTATGAAGATGTTGTGGGTCATGGCGTGATATTACACACTGCCGGTCAAAAGTTTAGAATAATAAAAAATGTTGAAGTCTCTTCTGCTCACCAAGGCTGCATTTATTTCATCAAACAGTAATATTGTGAAATATTATTACAATTTTAAAAAAGTGTTTTCTATTTGAATATATTTTAAAATGTAATTTATTCCTGTGATGCAAAACTGAATTTTCAGCATCATATTAACCACAGCTGTTTTCAACATTGATAATAATCAGAAATGTTTCTTGAGCAGTAAATCAGCATACTAGAATGATTTCTGAAGGATCATGTGACACTGAAGACTGGAGTTCAACTTTGCATCACAGGAATTAATTGCATTTTAAAATACATTCAAACAGAAAACTGTTTAAATTGTTAAATTGTAATAATATTTCACACTATTACTTTTTCCTTGCCTTGGTGAGCATGAAAACTCAATAGCTTAATATGTCAATGAAATATACACAGACTCTTCCTGTCTAAGCGGGCAGTTCTTGGCCAGAAAAAGCTTCAAATTGGCTTCAAACTTTGACAGTGAAAAGTCTGGCTTGGCAGGACTAGAAGTGACCAGACTTTATGGATTTGGTCTGTCGGCATGCAGATAGCTGGTATCTGTCCTGTCGTCTTCTGGCTTGCCTCTGAAAATACATCTGTATTGAAGGTTGCCCAGCCTTCAGAAAATACAAACAGATAGACAGCTGTTGGAGCATAGTGCACATTTATGTGTGTTTCTTTAACAGTATCACGCTCAGGGAAAACACAGCATGCTTGAATGTGTGTGTGCGAGTGTGTTTAATAGTGACAGAGAAAGTATACCGGGTATGTGAGGTATGTGTGCCAGCAGAAATCTGATACACACTCACCCACACACGTGCTCCATGTGCCAAATACACAGGCACTTTAAAACTTCCTACATGTGTTCTGAACTATTAAAAGGTGAAGAACTTCAATTCAAGGTTTGAAACTCATTTTACTTCCATAATGTGACAGAATTCCAAGTCAAACAGGATATTCAATGAGAATTCCTTTGAGAATTGATTGGATGGATCTCTGTATGAAAAGGCAGTTTGGGGGGAGGGGCTAAAACATAAGGGGGCTCGATGATGTCAGCGGAAAAGCAAAGTCGTTTCAGTGGCGGAGAAAATTAGTAATGTAAGATTCTGAAGACAAACCAGTGTTATTATTGTTAGCGAGAACTAAACCTAAATTTAAAAAAAAAAATGATTATCTGAAATAAAAATAAAACAACTAAACTAACTAAAACTCCCAAACTAAACAAAACTGAAATAAAAATGGCCACAATTTATTATACATTTAGAAAGTTAGTATATAAAACTTGAAACCTTTACTTTTCACTTTAGTCAATCACTTTAATCAAGTTAGTGTTAAATGTTAAATAAACATTTTCAAATGATACCATTCAGTGTTTTAACTAAAATACTAAAACCAAACTAAAAATTACATTGAAACTAAAATCTCACCAAAAAATTAAATAAAATGATATAAAATTAGAAGGAATTCTAAACTAAATTAAAAAGACAAATGTAAAATAATATATAAAAGTAATTAAATTCTA